GTTACATACTGTCACAAGTTGAATGAACAAGAACTTAATGGATTTAAACACGCGGAACTGGTATTCATTTTCATTTATGTAGTGAACACAGTTGTTATTGAGGGGAGGATGAGGATGGTTATTTGATTATTTTGGATTTTTCAATAGTGTTGGAATTTGCGGAAAAGATTGATTTGACAAATTTTTCATATTTTTCAAAATTTTAGTGATTTTTTCGTTTCGGTAACTCGACAACCGAAAAGGGAACTCGTAAATCCGAACACTTCGGACCTCCATATGATTTGCTGATAGCTTACATAAAAAGAATTTTACTCGAAAAGACTGAATATTCTTGTTAGGCGACTTGATACCGTCTGCTTAATTGCCTTCGACACCTCTGTCTAAATCTAGTGGATCGATCCACATTTACTTTTCAATAGACCGTCTATAACAAATGTTGCTCATATAAACTACACGAAAGTGCTGAATCATTATACAATATTGGCCAAAATTATAAGTTCACTTTTATTTTTAGTTTTTCTCTTCAACTATAATAGCTAGAACAAATGTGAAAACAGATCTGAACAACTGAAATAGTTTATAATCAGGTGAGATGCATATGAAAAGTCCATTAAAATTCCTGCAAATCAGTTCTGTGGAAAATCAAGATTTTAGAAAATCCCAAAAAGTCAAGTCCCGCGTGTTTAAATCCATTAAGTTCTTGTTCATTCAACTTGTGACAGTATGTAACAAGTGATCCGTACAATGGTTTTTCAACTAATTCACTATTTGCACCTTTTTCGGCAACAACCCTTCATTTATGACCGTGCAATACAGAATGTTGACACATCAGTTTTAGAACAAAAAAGCATGGGAAAGGATCGAAACAAAAGATAAAGAAATTTATTTTTCTACGTTTGAAAGAACTGAAGGTTCTTGTTTGGTTCTTGTTTTTCAGCGCAGCCGAATTTTGCTGAAAGAAATTTGTTTTTTATTAAGACATCAGCTCTCGAATCATCGCCATTCATTATTAGATGTGGAGGTGGAAAAAAATCCAGGGAAGATTAAAAATCCAGTTGTAGAATATGTATATATACTCAAAAAGAGGAGTATACTCAACCGAAGGAAAAAAATTAAGAAAGAAAACTGAGATATTCCTATTCAATATCATAAAAGGACGGACTAGAAATCGCCTCCTCCTCAAAATGTTTTAATTTCGATGTGGTTCGATGGAGAATTCCGTTTTATGTACTTTTTCATATTTTTCGAAGAAATTACCAACGTTTTTTACACTGGACTGCCATTAGTAATTTATTTTCAATAGGACATGGGGATGGAACTGTCTTTTACATATACCCGTCGATAGAGCTCGACGAGCTGATCAAGACTATGTGTGAAGGAATGCTTGAAAGTAAAAGTAACCGTTACGTTTTATCAAAGAACCACATCGGATCTAACTTTTTACTGCTATCTGTCATGAAATAAAGGTAATATTCGTAATCAGTGCTAAAAGCTGAGTGGAATGATGTGCTATTTATAATTTTAGCAAAAGCTAGCTTTTGTTCCTTCGTCGGAAACTCAGATGATGCGCTCCCTTCGTGGAAAACAACTGAAAAGCTGCCTATGATCCAGCGGGCGATTCTTGAAAGTTTTGCTGAAATTATAAATAGCACATCATTCGACTCAGCTTTTAGCGCTGATTACGAATATTACCTTTATTTTGCTTTGAAAACGATTATTGATGGCAAAAATTTGTATTTATTTCAAAATTCATACTGGTTTTTGAATTATGTTGAATTTATAGTCACGATTTCATCATGATCCCAAACTTTTAACTCAATTGTTTATAGATATTCTTGTAGCTTGTTACACAGGCAGTTCATTACACTAGAAATGGTTTGTCGTTAAGGTTGGCTGGTAGTTAAAAAAGCGAAATACTATGGCAGATAGGGCTAAAAACTTAAATTCGAAGTGTTTTCTTGATAACAAATAACGGTTATTTTTGACCAGTTACTGAAATTTATTTTTGCAACAGAATGTATTTCCTAGCTTCGAAAATACACACAATGGTGAAGAATGATCATCCCATATACATGTATAATATGATTTATTTGAACAATTTGTATCAAAATAAAATGTTTCTGTTGAAATAGTAACCACCTTTTGTTTCCATCAGCAGCTACTTGATTTCCGTCAATTTTATGTTAGACTAATATCGGAACGAGATGATAATTATAGAAAATATAAGTTTTATTTGTTCTACTCGAGAGCTGCTTCAATGATTAGAAATAAACGACGTCGTGACTTTAATCGAACTGACATTGAACAGAATTATCCGTATTCGATTCGATTTGAAGCATATGAATTGACCGCAAGTTTAACAATACGGTTACTCAATGTCTAGCAGTATCCAGTTTATTTTGACTATTTACCAGCCTTTCGTTTTGCTAAAGAATTACGCCTGAATGAAACGAATGACATGTGCGGTTGTACTTACCATTGCAGCAAAAATAATCTTCGCCGTCGTGTATCGAATTCTAATGAAACTTATCATTAGGCTTGTGAAAGACTGCTACGCTGCTCTCTATGAATATTCTGACAGTTGCTGTAAATCATTTTGCTCCGTTACCTCCTTATGCAAAACCACAAAACCTTAATAACCAACTTATTTCGTTGTAAGTACATATTTTCTACCATATTCGCGACAAATATTCGGTTTTATTCTCTTCGTTTTTCTATCAACGGCGCACAAAGAAGAATTTTTTACAAATCAAGGCTAGCAAAAAAACTATGTGGAAAATGACATCTCTGACTGCTATTATATAATCTCGAAAGCTTAATATATTGCTTGTTTTACATATGTATGAAATATATTACGTATTACTTCTTCAGGAAAAACATTAGACATATGCTTCACAATATTCAAGTTAAGCATGAAACAGAATATATCATCCATCTTACATTTCTGTATTACCTGTGTCATTCAACTTTGAAAAAAAACGAGCACCATTTGAAATTGTTCTGTCACGATCTATTTTATTTGAACTTGACAAACTATTTCTCGTAACTATTAGGATTAGGACCATAAACGTTTAGGATGATTTTTATTGAAGCATTTTTAAGAACAAATTCTAGTCCGTGGACTTAGAATGTGATCTTTACAAGAACGTGGTGTTTGAAGAAAATTTGAAAAAATTCGAAAGACCTGAGCTTCGAAAAAGTCTTCAATTTCCAAAAGTTTCAAATATATGAATGATTCATTTTATCCGGTCCGATAAGTACGATATCCAGAAGACGGGAAAAACTATAATGAATACTGACATCTTATAGAAGAAAAACAAATCGAGGAATAATTTCATCTCATCGCTATGTTCCAATGGAAAGCTAGCTTTATCCTTCATTTTTCTGTTTTAAACACACATTAGTAGATGGCAAAAAAAGTGGAAAGACCCTTTTTTTTTACAATCGTACGTTTTCTAACAATAAGCAGTTTGAAAAATCTGCGCAGTATTGTCTATCATAAAGCTAGAGTATATATTATGAGTACTTTAAACTTGTATAAAAAAGCAAACAAAAGTTTGAAAACGTGCTGATAAATAGCATACCATCGTATGAAATCCAGGTTGTTCTGTACAATTATAAGCCACCCAAGTTGCCACCAGGGGTAGACTAACCTGAGCCGTACGGCCGAGTGACGGATGGTCCATAATGTATTGGCCCAGAGAAGTTATTTGGATTGACACTGGGAAGATTAGCTCCAAGTGTAACAGAACCTGCTCCACCAGGTTGTTGGAATTGAACACCGGTATATGGTCCTTGCATTCCCGTAGGGGGTTGATATCCTGCGGCTTGATTAGCATTTTGACCATTTTGACCAGAATATCCCGAAGTATTGAAACCACCGGCACCCCAATTAGCCATTTTTATCGTGAGAAAGTTAATAGATTGAAGCAAGCAAAAAGTTTGTGTTTATGTTTGTGTGATGCAAGTATTAAGTAATAAAATAGACACGCATGAACGATGTTGTTGAAAAACAAACAAAATAAGAGCATACACGCTCGTTGAGTACGAATGATGAAAATACACACGACACTATCACACACACCTACTTAAAATCAAAATAGTATTATGTATATTGTAAACGTTGTGTGTACTAGAAAAAATTTTGTATAAACGGCCGTGACCTGTTCCAATGGCGTCGCTTCTTTGATAAATTTTCACAGTGCATGGACTTTTTAGATCACACTTATGAGTAGTATTTTATTCTTATAAAGCCAATAAGCCCTAGTCACTGATCAGATGAAATTATTCCTCGATTTGTTTTTCTTCTATAAGATGTCCGTATTCATTATAGTTTTTCCCGTCTTCCGGATATCGTACTTATCGGACCGGATAAAATGAATCATTCAAATATTTGAAACTTTGGAAATTGAAGACTTTTTCGAAGCTCAGGTCTTTCGAATTTTTTCAAATTTTCTTCAAACACCACGTTCTTGTAAAGATCACATTTTAAGTCCACGGACTAGAATTTGTTCTTAAAAATGCTTCAATAAAAGTCATCCTAAACGTTTATGGTCCTAATCCTAATAGTTACGAGAAATAGTTTGTCGAGTTCAAATAAAATAGATCGTGACAGAACAATTTCAAATGGTGCTCGTTTTTTTCAAAGTTGAATAACACCGGTAATACAGAAATGTAAGATGGATGATATATTCTGTTTCATGCTTAACTTGAATGTTGTGAAGCATATACCTAATGTTTTTCCGGAAGAAGTAATACGTAATATATTTCATACATATGTAAAACAAGCAATATATTAAGCTTTCGAGATTATATAATAGCAGTCAGAGATGTCATTTTCCACATAGTTTTTTTGCTAGCTTTGATTTGTAAAAAATTCTTCTTTGTACGCCGTTGATAGAAAAACGAAGAGAATAAAACCGAATATTTGTCGTGAATATGGTAGAAAATACGTACTTAGAACGGAATAACGTTGCCATGGTTCACTTAGTTCTTTCACCTAGGTGAAGGCTAAAACAGCTTGTGGTACGACACTCAAAACAATAATACTAGGTGTTGAAAACGATTCTTTGTTGATATTTCGTTGCTTCATTATTAATTCTCGCTCCGTCCGATTTTTATATGTTGTTCTATTATGAGCAGTAATAATAAGTAGAATTGTAACAGCAATTATTTGAATTGTACAAGGTGTGCGATAAATAAAACGTTATAGTGGTACGATTGTACACTGACCATTGATGCGATGTATAGATGGTTACGCATAGTGTAACTGATGAATATTTTGGATCATTGATAACCGCTTAGAAAAATAATTCATGTTTGATAATAATATAAGTGAGTGGAGAGTGGAACTGAATGGTTTTGTGTTGTATTGACACACGTCACCATAATAGCACCGACGACAAATGCGTAAGAAATCAGAATGGCTCTTCAACTGTCCTTGAACACAGCATCCTTGCAATATACAATGATCACATCGATCAGCTATTGAATCCTACCGAAACATTCAACACAATGAAAATCTTGTTGACATACAAAGAAATAATAATCATCATGAAAACAGACAGGCGATCGATTTTGACAGAGTTGATGATATTTTGAAACAGATGTTATTAAATTCGATCCATGTTCTAAAGTTGAAAAACCATCAGATAAGTCACATTAATCTAGCTGACTAATCATTTGACAAATCGCTTGTTATGTTGACAACTATTTCATTTTCCCGAACGTATAACAGATACATAAACGGATCATTCTCTCCTTTATATAAACTCATTATACCCAGTCAGTCCGTTGTCCCTTACTCGTTCGGGCAAGGTCTGATCTCGAGAATCATCAGTCGTCTAATGGACCGGAAGTGTTCATTCAACTCCTTGTGCACTGATTAATCATGGTATGTGTTCAATCTTCTTTCTCTTTTATGACAGAGTCGAATAGCAAACATAGCTCAGTTTTGTGCAATTTATCTTGCCCGATTTGGCAGTATTACTCATTTGGACCAGATTGATATTGCCCATTCGGATAAGGTATCTTGCCACATCAGACAATCTTTTTTGATCCTTGCCTGACCGGAAAACATTACTCGAACGGGCAATTTTACCCTATCAGCCAAGATAATTCTGAGACAGATATAATTGTCTGACCGTACAAGAAAGTACCGTATCACCGAAGAAAAACTCTATTTGATGCAGTTTTTGCCGTTCTATCACGTAGAATAAGCGTCGCTATAGCTGTGATTTATGCACTAATCCGTTGAAAGAAAAAGTGTGGAAATCTTACCAAAACGGGTAAAATATTCCTTGCCCAATCGAAACATTGTAAGAAAATACAGAAAAAGCAGTGTACAAGAGCTTTTCGAGTGACATTTGATATTTAAATTTTTCTCACTCAAACTCAATCACAAAAGTTTTGTTTTATATGTTTGTTGATGCTCAGATTTCGATCTTTCAACAGAAAAAATTTTTTAGTACCTACCATATCAGAAATATAGTAAAATATGGCTCGACTCTCGCTCAAAGACTTTTACATAAGTCGTTAACGCACTAGTTAGATTTTTCTTATTTGCAACTTTCTTTTGTCGACTTTTTTCCTCACACTGTACAATGGCTGTATAATTCACTGATGTATACACATAACTTTCAAAAAAGTGCTGCATTAAAATTTATTGAATCAGTAATTTTAGTTTTTTGTTATATTTGATAAATATCCATATCAAATTGTCATGCCATAACCATGCCCCATCGTCACATTCTTTCTTCTATGAGAAGAAGGACATGCGATCAAAAAGCCATTCAAAATATGAGACGTATACTGTATTCATTTAGAAGTTGACAAATACAAAAATAGGTGATAGGAAATAAAACAGTATCGATCATAGAAAAATCATAAAAATTTCGCACCTCTTCACGCGCATACCGATAAATCCATGTCGAGAAAACTTTTTTTTTATTTGAATAACATTGTATTTACAAGATGATTTTTTTATTTTTAAGCACTTAGATGTGTCCATTGTTTGCTTAAATCCCACAATCGTTTTGCTTTCTCCACATCGTATGATTCTTCGCTTGAACGTGCTTCTTTCATATCAGACATGAATACTCCAGTTTTACCATTAAGAGTGTCAGATGTTGCAGCAAATACTTCGCATTCACTACCAAAATCTTCCGTTCTAAATAACGACCTAAATTTTATAAATATTTTGATTGGTTATTTGATACTAACCGTGCAAATGGAAATAGAGACAATATATGAGACATAAAGTATCTCTGCAACAAGTTTGTATCTCTATTCAGACCTGTAGTAGGAACGAAACCCTATAAAGACCATTAGTCATTTATCTATGACATGAGAAACACAGCATTATTATCTGTACCGGACAAATAACATGAACGTCGACTCCAGTATTTTCTAATCTTCGAGCTAATTCGTACGAAAACCAAACATTGGCCAGTTTTGAATTTTTGTAAGCGACCATTCCATCATATCCCGTCTCATTGTTAATCTCATCTAAGTTCCATTTGAAATTTGGAGGATTTCCATGTTTTACACTTGAATCATGCAGTTTTGATGAAACAATTACTACTCTTGAAGGAGATGAACGTTTCAAGTCATCCAAAAGAAGATTTGTAAGTACAACTAAACGAGAATCAGATATTATAATCAATTTTTCTAGTTATTTCAGTATGATACGAAAACCAAATGTTTGGATGTGGTCTCAAAATAATCTGAACAGAAGATCTCTTCTACCTCAGCCTACATTTAAAAAATGTATCCTGTACTATTGTCTTCAGTGGAGAAGAGCATTTTTGAAAGAGTCTAAGCGAAAATAAAAGGCTCAACTACGCGCCTCAGTATGGGTATTTCAAAGATGCTTTTTCCTCTTTTTCTACACACGTGTTTGTATCCAAATATTTTCTAGAACTACCGTGAAATCTTGAAAGTGTGAAAAGATAAGGAGACAGAGGTAGTTTAACTATTTTGTTGTAAATATAAAGATGGTTATTTTTGTATACATATGATGTGTATGGGTGTATTATATATCATTTGTTATTGATATCTGTTCTTCACCAAATTATGCCACTGTATGTTTTCAGACCAGTGATTTATCTAGAGGGGAGTCGGAAGGGCCATTGTCCTTCCGAAAGGACGGGCGATCATCTGATGAAATCGGCCCATGCCTGAATTTCATCGACTAATCAAAGGCTAGATATAAAATGAAGAGGGGAATATTTCTAGATATTTACTAGATCTTAGAAACACTCTCAGAAAAAATTGGTCGAATGATTAAGTTTCTGCTGTATCTGATATATATTATAGATCGTAGTTGTGGATCATTCTCTCTCAGTTTCATAATTCCTCAGGACTATTATATATCATTCGAAAGCTCTTTTTCTTCGCTATATTTCTGT